TGGCCGCGAGTGACATTGGCAGGAGTATGACTTATATATCTTCTTGATGATATGCTACGTCATCTTCGCAGTGCACTGGTACTAGGAAGAAAACTGCTCAACGTCGTACGATTAATTGGGCTTCATGCGAGTAGCTGCGAATGCACGGATGTCTTTGCAACAACGACGTCGACGTCGTATATGGTCCGAAATAGCGATCACCGTCACGACCATGGCTATAGCATTTGACGGATGCCAAGAAGTTAACGTCCTTTAGCAACGTACTGAGTCATGTCTCAGGTGTCAAGAGAGACATGTGCGGTAGACACAACGGAACTAGTGAAAATCAACCCGTTCAAAAGAGAAGCCTGTCTAAGGCTTACAGCAAATAGCTTTGCTATCACCGAAATTCGCATTCTCTGAAAAGAACTCCAATTGCTTTGCGAAAAGGAGACTACCCTGTATACACGCAAACGATATGCCTCACTGGATAGTAAGCGGTACCCCTTATGTGGGATCATGCACGGGTGACAAGTGTGCAGTAGTCAACAGATCTACCCTTACTCCATGGAACTCGAAAAAGCGAACGAATACCCAGGAGTAACCGGATGCACAGAAAGCTGCGGCGGATTGGGATGCGACTGTTTCTATCCCAGTTCTGGATGCCTATTCTACAGGATCTATCTGATTCCGGAAGACGACCGAATTTATGAATTCTACCGATGTGCTAGATGGAAACCATCAGCAGAACTGCTAGTGACTATGAGCGGTACAAATTCATCTACACAGGCACTACGGTTACGAGTTTCACCAAACCAACCAAAACAATTTTCATGGTGGACGTTAACCCTTTCTTCACTCGGAATTCCACCCGTACCAGCTTTGGACAGCACCTTCATTACGAATGGAAATCACACAGCCCTAGCCCCAGGGCATTACTATCCACCTCTCGTCTGCCGGACATCGGAGGACGCTCGTAACATGACATGTGAAATCGTGGAAGATTGCATTTGCGCACCAGCAGAGGTAAAGATGCGCTGCAGCTGCAAAGGAATCAACTTGGAAGGAACGGTCCGCGATGACCTATGAAAATGCAAGAGGTTATGTGGGAAGGTAGTGCGGTCCGGAGTGGACAACCCTGTGCCAGTTTCGCGGCGGAAAGTTGTACGGTAAAGGAATTAAGGCGCAAAGTTGCTTCAGTGGTACATCCCTTTTTCCAGTGACTCCGCCTCCAGACTCCGCCTCCAAAGTCGGCCTTCCAGCTAGAAATAGTGGGAATCAGCCGACGGGAATCGTCCCAGCGCGCGGTCTTTTCGGTCTTTTACCTCTACAGTTGTTTGAGGCTAGAGGAGGCCTGACGAATGCGTTTCCAACGTTCCCTTTGGCATTTTCTCTTCATAGACGGTTCACTTGGCGAATTTTCTTCCACATTTCTGCAACATCACCTAGGGTTTTTATCGCGGACTGTACCTTTAACGTCGTATATGCAGCATCCAGATCGTCGGCTACCACAGCTCCGCCAGAATGAGCTACGAGAAGATCGATACCGACTCTTGGCACGGATACTCAACCTCCTAACGGCCGAACTCGTTTTACGTCTTCGAGGAACGTTTCATACCACTTCGTTGGTATCGGACGCAGTGTGCACCGTCGACAACACACACTGCCTCGGTTGCTATAACTGTGCGAAAGGGGCTCAGGCGACTGTAATATGCAGGTCATCTACGGAGAAGGAAAATGCGGAAATACGATGCGGAGATTACTTCTTCACTATCCCTTGCCTTGCGTCGCAGGGATGATGGGACCTGCCGGTCGCTCTTATCATAGGCTATCCTTGTGAGGGAATTCTTCGTTCAGAAGTCCCTCGAAGTATTCTTCCCACCTCTTCCTGACTTCGGCTGGTTTCCTGAGAATGGCCCCGTTGCTGCTCTTCACAGTCTTTACGACCCTGATGTCCTGAGCTGCGCGATGCCGAGCTTTAGCCAGGCGGAAGACGAACTTGTCCCCTTCTCGGCCTTCCAGCTTGTCGTACAGGGCGTCCATTTCCGTATTCTTGGCCTTAGCAACGGCCGCCTTAGCGAGTCGCTTGCAGCTCTTGTAGGCAGCGTAGTCTTCTGGGCTCCGTGTCTTTTGCCAGCGTTTGTATGCTTCCTTCTTCTGCTTGACGATCCTCTGGACTTCCTCGTTCCAGAACCAGGCTGCCTTGTCTCCTCTGATACCACCTCGCGTCTCTCCCAGGACCTCCCTTGCACACTGTAGGATGACCTCTGCTGCGTAGGTGGCCGTTTGGTCCCTGGACTGGCCATGTGGGTCTGGAGCTCCAGCCTCCAGTATTCTTGCGCCGAGGTATCCTTTTCTACCTGCGCTTTTCCACCACCCCCGAGATTCACTCCGCTCTGCTCTCACCCTCGTCTTCTTGGGGAGGTCTATGGCGATGTCTGCCAGGAGAGGCCTGTGCTGAGGGCCCAGCTCTTCCCCAGGCAGTACCTTGATATCCTTGACGGTTTTGAGAGACGATCTCTGACCAGGACATGGTCGATTTCCGTTTGTCTCCCTCCACTGCTGTAGGTTACCTTTTGGGTCCTCCTTTTCGCGAAGAAGGTGCTGCAGATTGCTAAGTCGTGGGCTGTTGCTAGGTCAAGGATTCGTCCTCCCTCTGCTTTGTCCCTATCACGCTTGACGGTCCGTGCACCGCATTGTCTAGACCCTTCTGTCTCCTCCTACATGCCATTCAATCCCAGCTTATAGGAGATAGTCCTCTCCGGAACGATCTATGGCCTCGTTCCAGGTCAGGTATAAACTCATCCTTTTTCGGCTTCAGAGGGGGCACCGGATTGTGGTGCGTACACGGTCAGTACTGTCCAGTACCCCTTCGTGTCCATTCTCACTCCCATGATCCGGTCACTGATCCTGTTCACAGTGGAGACGCAGTCCTTGAGGGATTCTGCCACCGCTATGGCAACGCCATTCCGTTTGGTGTCTGCTCCATTGTAGAAGAGTTTAACACCTTCTCCGATCTCGCGGGCCTTCGCACCCTTCCATCGCGTTTCCTGCAGGCATAGGACTTGGATATTCCTGCGTCTCATGAGGTCGGCAACCTCACGAGACTTCCCGGTAAGCGACCCCACGTTCAGGGTCCCAATTCGAACTAGCTTCTTTGGCCGAGGTCGTTCACCCCTCGGTAGCCCTCGCAATATGCTGACGCGGACAAGACTCGGCGAGGGCTCTGCGCGCCACCATCCGTGTGACGTCCTAGCTTTTACACTGATTCATGGCGCCCTTGTAGAATGGTTTGTTGTGACGGGTTCTGACCATCACCGCTGTCGAAGCCTGCCTGACGCTGGTATCGTCCCCATTTTTGCAATTTTTGCAAGGCAGGTTTGTGCCTCGGCAGGGATCGAACTCGTGGCTCAGAGTGAGATTATGAGTCTACACTCTTAACCACTCGGCTATCCCTGCCTAATTTCGTACCATTCGTGTATCAGAACGAAATTGTCCATGCATTCCGCTGATGCCTTTCTGTATTGTTTGTGCATCTTATAGAGTAGCTTCAACTTTATATAGAAGTAAGGCCTCCCCTCTTTTATTGAGGAAAGTATCCACATCGTTTACTAGGTTGATGAACTCGATCTGGTAGTCGTTGAGTATGTCGCTTGTGTCATAGTATTTGTCACCGTAGTACTTGT